AAATCCTTCTTTCTTCATGATTTTTATAATTTTTATTTATTTTTCTTTTCTGATTTCATCATCTGAGAGCTCCAGTATGTTTTTGAAAAGCAGGGGCTTTAGTGGGCATCTGTGTATTGTGACTCTAAAGAGAATATTTCTAGTTTTTTTTGTCAACAAGTATGATGTTTATAGGTTTTTAAAATGACCTTTAGTTAAGCACAGTTTCTTCTATTCTTGGTTTGTTATTTTTTAAAAAATCATGAATGCATATTGACTTTTTCTAATGTAGTTTTTCCTCAATTGAAATAGTCATAAGTTATTCCTTTAATTTATTAATGTGGTGAATCACATCAATTGGTTTTTTGAGGTTGAGCCATTCTGGAGTTCCTGGAATAAATCCTACTTGGTCATCTCTATCTCTGGTTCTTCAGTGCTGGATTTGATTTGTTTATTTTTTATTTAGGATTTTATATCTCTATTTATAAATGACATTCTCATAGAATTTTCCATTCTTGTATTATCCTTGTTCAGTTTTATTTTGAAGATAAATTAGGTAGTATAGTAATCAAGTTTCAGTTTAAGGCAACAAAATCCACACTATGTAAAAAGAGAATTATCCCGTGAGAGGTTAAGTGGCTTACTTAGATATACATTCCTAGGGCTGAAAAAGAGGTTTTATCTAAATTTCCAAGAACGGCACCTAAATCCATTTTGCAGAACTGGGTCAAGGAAGATACTGCCAGTACTGCAATCAAGAATTTGAAAAATTAAGATGAAATGCTACTATAAATAGAAAACCCTAAAATTCTCCACCAAAAAACTATTAGAATTAATGAATTCAGTAAAGTTGCAGGATACAAGATTAATATGTAGAAATATGTTGCTTTTCTATACACTAACTGTGAATTATCAAAAAGAGAAAGCAAGAAAACAATCCCATTTATAATTTACAAAAAGAGTACAATACCTAGGGATAAACTTAACCAAGGAGATGAAAAACCTAAACTCTGAAAACTATAAAATATTGATGAAAGAAACTGAAGATGATTCAAATATTCTTTTCAATTGTTTCTTTGCCATTCTTCAGTTTCCTTCCTAGAACTACTTTGTAGGGTTCTCTCTCCTCTCCCTCTGATTTAAATACTTAACAAATTTAATTTCCCCCTCCCTGCCTTCCCTATCCCTCATAAATTAAAACTTTAAGACTTTAAATCTCCCTCTAGATGCACTCTGGATTCACCCTACACATTTTACCTATGGTAAGTGTACTTTTTTATTTTTAAACTGCCAAGGCCATTTTTATTCATTTTATCAACTTGAAAAATTCTGTTTATGTAAGTTAATCTTTTAAATGCAGAAGACTCTAGATATTATGGTGTCTTATTTCCGTGTACCACACTATGAAATGAAACAATGAGTGCATCCTTCTGACACAGAAATCAGTGAAATAAAATCAATACACTCATTTTGATACTGCTGTTAAATATTTGTAGGATGGCTTCTCAACTTAAAAATGATTTAAAAACAAAAATTTTTTATGGAATCTAAATTACCATTGCAGTTATAAAATATCTTAGTCCACAATTTTTTGTTTTTGAGTTTCAAAGATGTGAAGGCTCAGGATTTTGTCTTGTTCCAAGATTTTTCTTTTTGCAGTCTTTACCCTTCTTCAGATTCTTCATTCTTCTCTTTATCTATTCACCCCATCAAAACCAAGGAAGAACTGAGAATCTATCATTGACACTTATTTGCTGTCTGATAACATTTAATCTGAAGCTAATTTGAATTTCAACCATCTACCTGACTTAAATCCTATTCTCTATTTGTGCATTTTAAAAGCATCTATATCGGGGGAGGGTATAGCTCAGTGGTAGAGTGCTTCCTTAGCATGCATTGAGTCCTGGGTTCAATCCCCAGTACCTTCATTTTAAAAAAAGTGTCTATAAGAGATGAGACTATATATAAGGGGAGACCAGTGAGACCCCTGAAATCGCCTGAAGCAAAATAAAATTGAAAGCCCTGCAAAGAACCCTGAAGTTTTTCTTTTAGGGCAACTCAAAATGAGGGGCCAGATAAATTGACTTACCTCTCTCTCTCCTCTCAACCCTGTTCTTTTGAAGACACTGTTCAAAGTAAAGCCCAGTAGAACTACTGAAGATGCCAAATACCTGTGCCCCCTGGATTAGTTGGTTCCACCATCTGTCTCACCACAGGTGTGCCTATTAGAATATTATCTCCTCTCCATGCCCCTTGCTACTTTTCTGCCTAATCATCTGTGGGTCTTCTTAAACCCAGTCCTTGCCAATCTCTCTCTCTGTGCAGATATTTATTTTATTTTTTCTGGCACATTTGCCTTTAGTACAATTTGAGAAATATGATCATTTACTATACACAAAACACTGTGATAAGCACTAATTCTAATTATTAGTTTGTAGTAAAAGTTTTCTAATGTCTAGGAATATGTGTAAACATTGTTCCTAATTCTAGACTTAAAGTTTCTGACAAAAGTGCACTAGAACTCTGCTTCATTCTACTTTTCCTATTCTTTTTGGCTACTCATACTGCTTTTCATGGTAGTTAAATTTATGCCAATTATTTCCTCTGTTGGATTTTTTAACTCCCTGAAAAGTCTACATCTTTGTATTTAACACAGCAATTAGAAACAGATTCTTACACCTTATAAGTAGTTAATTCTATGAACATAAAAGTATTTAAGGAGTATCAGAAGCTTTCTGCATTCCTACTGTTCGCTGGTAAATGCAATCAGCTTTTTTGGAAAAAGTACAAACACATATATTCCTTATAAAGTTTATTGATATAAAGAATGTGTAGTACACAATTCACAAATAATAATAATATATATAATACTCTTTATTGTGAGTTTCATATAGCCAATTGATTCTCACAGAATCCTTTCATTGATTTTTACCAAATGCTTATATTTATAGCTTCCCCATGGTTGCAATCAATGAACAAGTGTTGTTCCAACATGATGTTGGTTGATATGTTAATTTATCTTTACAAGTAAGATGGGAAAAAACCCTCAGAATTAATGTCAGAACTTCACTTGTTTGCTAGTCATCTGTGTGACTTCTTTGCTGAATCAGATAACACTTTTCAAATACTAAAAGACAATTGCTCCAGTTTTTTTGTGCTACTCACAATGTGGTATGGCATGATACACTTTTAAGTTTAATCTGCATTATCAACATTTTCTCCATAATTTTCTTAAATCTATCATTAAAATAGCAAACCAAGAGCTTATTTGTGGTGTTTCCAAAAAAAAAAAAGAAAAGAAATAATTTCTCATCTATTTAAGCACTGTTGGATATAAATGATCTTCATCAGTAGTAACATAACTTGAATTTGCTGGTTGAAAATGGTTACTCTAGACATGTTTTTCTATGGAGCAAATTTATAGCTAAGTTTACCTACCCGCGACTTCTTTTTCATTTGCAGATTGCTCATGTAAACAAAAAGTTGAATTCTACTATGGGGAGAGAGGAGACTCTTTATCAGATATTTGACCCTCAGTTGGGAAATTGGAGATGAGCTGGACAAACAAAATGAGATAACTGATGATCTTGCCAATGAGAAAATTTGCACTGAAACCAGATGTGTGAATCTGGTGGATAGAAAGTCCACATCTTGTGGGATGATAATGGTGACCTTATTGCTGCTCATGGCTATTGTGGTCATAGCAGTCTGGCTTATCAACTAGTAGCAATCAAGGGACCACCTGCTGTGACACCTGCCAGTGATGGGAAAAAGCTTAGCATCGTCTTGGTACACAAAAGCTGCTCTCAATAAATTCCCCAAGGTGGGTGGAGGGTGGGAAGGGATAGACTGGGATTTCAAAATTGTAGTATAGATAAACAAGATTACACTGTATAGCACAGGGAAATATACACAAAGTGTTATGATAACTCACAGAGAAAAAAATGTGACAATGAGTGTCTATATGTCCATGAATGACTGAAAAATTGTGCTGAACACTGGAATTTGACACAACATTGTAAAATGATTATAAATCAATAAAAATGTTAAAAAAATAAATTCCCCCAAAGCTCTGAAAAAAATAATTTTTCAAGGATTATTACTTTATTAGGACTAAATAAGCATGTCATGGGTCAGGGCATTGAAGGACTTATAACTAAGTTAGTTATGTAACTCTAAGGAAATTATTTTCCTTCTTTAGCCTATGACTTGTCATCCACAGATGAGATTGAGTAGTATTCCATTGTATAAACATACTGCAACTTTTTATCTAGTCATCTGGTGATGGACATTTAGGTTGTTTCCGTGTCTCGGCTATTGTAAATAGTGCCGCTATGAACACTGGGGTGCATGGATCTTTTTGAATTAAGGTTCCCTCTGGATATATGCCTAGGAGTGGGATTGCTGGATCGTATGGTAAGTCTATTTGTAGTCTTTTGAGAACTCTACATACTGTTTTCTATAATGGCTGCACCAAACTACATTCCCACCAACAGTGTAGGAGGGTTCCCTTTTTCCACACCCTCTCCAGCACTTGCCGTTTGTAGACTTTTTAATTATGGCCATTCTGACTGGTGTGAGGTGATACCTCATTGTAGTTTTGACTTGCATTTCTCTGATAATTATACTATATATTATAAATGTATATAAAGCAATTTTTAAATAACAAAGTACAGAATTTAGATTAAAGAAATTGACCTGTATATTTACTTAGAATATTCCTTTAAAGTTCTGCCTTGAATCCTTGAATGCCTCTTCCAAGTAAAAATGAATTTTTCAAAAGCAATTGTATGTTGTTAAGGTATTACATGTCTACCCTAAATGGCAATATTTCTTAGCAATTCATAATTTCTAAATATTAGTTCAAGAACAGAATTTATCCTGAAGTAATACAATTTCTTGACTCTATTTGTTGTCATTTTAAGATTGATAAAAGAAGCTGAAAAATCTCCAGGCTTACTAATACTTTATTTACAGCACAAGAATATTGAATGTTTTTTTCCTTTGCTTCCATAACAAAGGAAACCTGAAAGTAAGCTCTGAATGTCTATGACAATGGCTCAGTGACTTACGAACACGACCTTATATCTTCAGTATCATCAAGGTAACTTTTGCAGGAGTTTCACTACTTTATGTATCTTTCCGTTGCTTGTTCATTAACTCTCTTGTTTTTTGAAACCAATAATATCTTTAATACGTTTCTGAAAGGCAGCTACATGAGGTTTAAGAGACTCAGTTTTTCACATTTACATCTGACTCATGACATTCTCTCAGACTAGCACGTGATTCTCTGGTTTCTGTGTTCTAGCCAAAATATTCCTCAATGACAATCACATACAACTAGCATTTTTTATGGTTTCTTTTGAGATATAATTCACATGCTATACAGTTCACTTATTTAAAGTATACAATTCAAGGACTTGTATATTCATAGAATCATGCATCCATCACCACAATCAATTTTTAGAACATTTCCTTGCCCTGACAAAACCCCAACGTTCCCTAGTGATCACCCCTCAATCTCCTCATCTTCCCCAGGCCTAAGCAACTGTTAATCTATTTTCTGTCTCTATCAATTTGTCCATTCTTGACAATTCACATAAATCGAAGCATGCAATATATGGTACTTTGTGACTTTTTTCCCACTGAGCATAATGTTTTCAAGGTTCACTCATGTTGTGGCATGGATCATTACTTCATCTTTTATTAATGACTGAATAATTGTTTTATGAATATACCACACTTTGTTTATCCATTCATTAATAATGGACCTTTGAGTTTTTCCACTTTTTGGCTATTATGAATAATGGTGCTGTGAACATTTATGTGCACATTTTTGTGTGGGTATGTTTTCATTTCCCTTGGGGTATATACCTAGGAATGGAATGACTGGATCATGTAGCAGCTTTATGTTTAACCACCTGAGGAGCTTCCAGACTGTCTTCCAAAGTGACAGCACCATTTTACAACCCTACCAGCAATGCATAAAAGTTCTAATTTTTCTACATTCTTGCTAAAACTCATTATTGTCTGTCTTTTTTTTATTATAATCATCCTGCTGGGTGTGAAATGGCATCTGATTATGGTTTTGATTTGCATTTCCCTGACGGCTGATAATACTGAGCAGTTTTCATATGCTTATTGACCATTTGTATATCCTTTTTAGAGAACCATCTATTCAGATAGTTTGCTGATTTTTGAATTCGGAAATTTATCTTATTATTGAGTTGTAATGGTTCCTTTTATATTCTAGATACAAGTCAGATATATGATTTACAAAAAATTTACTTCATTCTATGGACTGACTTTTTACTTTCCTGATGATGTCCATTGGAGCACAAAAGTTTTTATCCTGATGAAGTCCAATTTGTCTATTTTTCCTTTTGTAGCTTGTGCTTTTGGTTTCATGTTGAAAAAATCATTGCCTAATCCAAGGTCATGAAGATTTATGACTATATTCTTCTAAAAGTTTAATAGTTTTTCTCTCACATTTAGGCCTTTGATATATTTTGAGTTAATTTTTGTATTTGTTGTGAGGTAAGGGTCCTACTTCATTGTTTTGCATTTGGCTAGTCATTTGTCCCAGCACTATTTGTTTATAAGATTATTCTTTCCCCATTAGTGGTCTTGGCATCCTTGCCTAAAATCTGTTGACCATAGATGTATGGGTTCATTTCTGGAGTTTTAATTCTATGATATTAATTTATATGTTTACCCTTATGCCAATAGCACATTGTCCTGATTACTGAGGCTTTGCCGTAAGTTCTGAATGATCATCTTATTTCCAAATCAGTTTTGACATTTACATGTAATTTGTTTATCTTGGGTTGTATTTAAGAGGTAGTTGGTACTAGTATATCTTTATAATTTGGAGTTTTATGATTAGAGGCGATAAAGCATAATGGTTATGGGCACAAGGATTTAGAGTCAGAGAGACCTGGATTTGAAATGACTGTACCACTTCTTGATGTGGAAACTTGTATAATCCTCTCCAAACTTCAGTTTCCAGTCTTAAAATGGGAACAATAATACATTAGTAGATTTTTGTGAGGATTAAATGAGTTAATATATAAAAAGTACTCAGTAAAGATAGGCTTCATTTTCCCAGACAAAATGTCAATCTGCATGACATGTTTACCGTGTGTATACAGTGACAGCATATTGGTTTACACTCTGTTTAAGAAAATAGCAATAAATTCCCAGGAATTTAGAGCTCACTTTTCTACAAATATGAGAAAAAAATGGGAGCTCATTTTTTTCCAGAAGAGAAAAGTAAAGTAAAACTGCCTGTGGAGAACTGTGGGGAGGAGGAGGCAGAAAGAATCTATGCGTGGTCCTTATCCAGGAATTTAAGAAAATTTCTTTCTCTAATAATTCTTTTAAAATAGTTTAAATTGTTGATCTGCCTGTAAAGGCTTGTAGCCTCCTTTGCAGACGTCAAGGAATGTACTTTCAAACAACCTCTTGGAATCCCTTCTCAAAACTTATTACTGAATATGGGCCTCTAGGAGAGAGATCAGGGTAGGTTTCTACTTGATCTATTTCATCTCTTAGATCATAATTTCAGGTGTATTTTAAAACATAAATTTTTAAAAACCGTAAATCTTTTAAAAAATTATATAACAGGAGTTCAGAGGATGTAAGTTAAGCACTTTCCAGCTGTAGTGACCAATCTACTAAATTCAGGCATTAGCACGATTACTGTATTGAAAAGGTCTTGGGCTCTTTTTCTGTTATATTTAGGAAAATATTTACTGCAATTTTCTTTTCCAAATTACTCCCGGAAGAAAACTTCAGTGGCCTCATCCACAAGTAGCTCAAACGGAAAGTATGCTGGGGATTCTGAATAGTCAGCGATGCGACACGAGGTGGCACTCTAGTCCCAGTGAGTGCTGTAGAGCAGTACGTCAGATAAAGCACATGCAACTTCAGAAGACTGTGGTAGGTCTGAGTGCCACTGGGAGACTGAAAACAGACTGAATGGTTAACCGGGCACAGAGCCATAGGTGGGATTGAGAAAGTAAGGCAGTACAATAGGGCAGATGGCAGAAAGTAGAATAGCAACAACCTGAGAAAAATAACTGTTGTCTGGACTAGTGCTTTATAGTGCACTGACTATTATAGTACTGATTAATATAGTACACCTTTATAATTTATTAATCTTCATAACAATCTTTTCACTGTTGCTCCATATGCATGCCTAAAACAAATATTAGATAATGACATTTCTGTGTAGAAATTATGGCTTTTCGTGGTCTTCAGGATAAAAATCCCACTTTGTCTCCAATCTTCAGCCTTTCTTCATGACTGAAACATCTGAAGTTCCTGAAATGCATCCTGCCCTCTTTGTCTCTGTGATTCTGTGCATGATAGCATTCTACCTAGAACCTTCTTTGCCCTTTCATCTTCATGGATGGCTTCTGCCCCACTTTTCTGAATCAACGCAGCTATTACCTTCTGGAAGCTGTCGTTGACCACCTCCATTGGGCAGGAATGTGAGGATTGAAGCTAATATGTGAAATACCTAACAGAGTATAGGTGTCTAACGAATGGTATCTGTTGCTATCATTACAACTCCAGTCATTTTAGTCTATTTACACATCAATCATTTTTGTTTGAATAATTACTATTTTCTGGGCCCATTTTCAGGTCTGTTATGTTTTCATCGCTAGGTAATTACCAGAATGCCACTTAATATTTCCAGTGTGGAATCTTCTTTATGCAAGTGTAAGGTGACATTTTCTGTTTTGTTTCAGTGTTCTCCCTGATTAATTCATCCAATAAATGCTTTCTTACTTCTTAAAAACAAGGTGCTGTTCTAAGCACTGAGAGTATATAATGATCATTTTCCTGAATTACAATTGATAGGTTGTTTTCTGCTATTTTCTAACCATAGTTTATGTTAGTAATTTCCAAATTCATTAACCATTGCCCACAGGAAATCTCTTAACACTCCTCTGCTAATTAACACTGCCTCAAAAGATCCTCTTGATATTTATCATTATATGTTTGGATTGAAAAAAGCTCTCAATCCCATTAGAGGACCTAATGTCAACCATAAAATGTGTCCATTTTTTGAGATTTTGTGGGGAACTGTGAAATAAGGCTTTTGAATAGTCAGGATCCTGGCAAGAATCAGAAGGCACCTCAAAGTAGGAAACCTAAGAGTAAGACTGCTTACAAAGGTGTGGGCAAAGTTTAGAAAAAGAAACTAAACCAGGGTTAACCAAATGAGTCGGGAGGCAGTATTCCTCCTAGGCTTCATGAAGCTAGCGGATATCGGGACCCGGAGAGGGTAGCTATCAGGAGAAAACTGCTTGACCAGGGCTGAAGCCCTCCACAGAGAGATGCAGCTCATTCATTGTAACCAGCAGGCAGGGAGCCTGGGAAATTAATGTCCTCACTCATTCTCCCACCAACCCAATCTGCCACCAGGGGCAAATGATTCAGTTGCTGTAGTCCATGCAGGTCAGTCTCCTGTGACATAGATCAGGGTGGAGGAGGTAGTGTAGATCTGCAGAAGCAAGTGGAAGAAAACTCAGCTTTAATAGGCCATAACTTGTTCATACACTGGGAAACCTAGCTATTCATAATTTTCTTTTATTAAAAGAAATATGACTTTATCACTAAACTTTGTTATCATTTCTATAAACCAGTCCCCTTTTCATGAAAGAATACTCTCTCTCCCTACTTTTCCATCCTCAGTTCATTCAATCAATATTTACTGAATTCTTCTTTGGGCAAGTTTTACAGCACAGAAATAAAGACTGTTCAATCTCAAGGTCTCACCATCAGATAGGGGATAAGAGAAGAAAGTAAACAATCACTCTTATGGAGTACTGTAAGCATGATTAATTAGGGGGAAACACAAGGGCAATGGGAGCTCACAGATGAGGTGTCTACCTTAGATTATAGGTCGTCTGGGAAGGCTTCCTGGAGGAGGCGATTTAGGCAGACTCCTTGGTCAGGTTTAATTAGTTTCTCTTTTTCCCATATATATTTAATCTTTAAATCTTTAGTCTGAGATCTATAGTTGATTATGTGACTATGAGTTTTCTTACTTCTTTTCCAATTTCACCTTCTTAAATCTTAATTATGCTATATTAGGTTGCTTAAATGGATATCAGCAATTTGCATTTCACAAAATTGTTGGATCAGTTTCTGGAACTATTTTTTATCATCTTGCATTTGGAATGACTATTGTGATACTATTTTATTTGACTGATTTTGGAGGGTGGGGCAGGGAATTTTAGTGTTTTGGGAATTGCTTAATTAGAAGCTGGGCAAAGACATTCTTTGTTGGTGTGATTTACTTATGCAAATATTCAAGTAACTCTGATAAAAAGACACTGTCTGCATAGGACATGTTTGTTTATGTAGTTAAGTTTTAATACTGTCTTTAACCACCATGAACATAAATTTGGGGGCACATCTCAGAATCCTGTCTTTAGATAAACTGCAAAGTATGGATTACCATGTCAAATGGTATGAACATTTTTATGGTTCTTAATAAATATTGCCACATTGCATTTAGAAAGTTTATACACTGTTATATACAAATGTCACATGCTGTCTCTACCACTATTACTGATATATTTTTGGTATTTTATAATTTTTGTTTGCTTCTTCCTGTTAGCTGGCTATTCATGTCAGCTTTGCTATAGCAATGGCCTTTTACCCCAACAACAGCAGTTTTCACTTCTTTATATATTCCCAGAAATAGCCTTACTGTGCTGCTTCAGAAATATGGGCAGCTATAGTGCTACCTGTCCTCAGTTGTCTGGGTCTCAGCTTCCACCTAAATTCATTATGCTATCTTCTATTTTGTGTGTGTTTGAAGTTTTCTATCATATGTTCTGATAATCTCATATTTTCCCTTTGTCCATTTTTCCATTAGCATTAGAGTTTTTGTTGATTAAGAGCTAAATCATCTGGTCTGTCATGCCTGAAGGCAGAAATTTCCATGGTTATTATTATTTTAATCTCTATTGTAACTTTGTTTATGTGTTCTTTTTCAATTCAATTTTTTTTGCTCCCTCTCTCTTTAATTGAAATATAGTTGACATGCAATATTATATTAGTTTTAGATATACCACATAATGACTTGACATTCGCTTTCTCTCTCTTTTATTTGAGTGATTGTGCCAGAGGTTTGGAAACTTTGTTCATATTTTAAAAGAACCATGTTTGTATTTAATGAATTTCTCCATTGCATCTTTCCTGTTCCATCAACTTCTGCTCTTATTCACATTCTTTCTGTCTTATATATATTATACCTCCTTCTTCCTTCTAATTTCCTTCTGAACTACCTTTGGCAGATTTTAACAGGAATTAGCTGACAAAAGAGAAAGGCAATTTTCAGAATCTTAGTCCCAGCTTTACAAAACACAGAAAAGAAGAATAGAGTTTGGAGCTGAGAAATAATCATTTAAGAACCAACAAATTTTATTCAAATAATATACTTTTGGAATTTGACTTTTATTTTCCAGTGAAGAAAAATTTAAAAATTGTTTCCTCCCCTCCTTTTCTTTCCTCCTCCTCCTCTTCCTTCTTTTGTTATAATTCTAGGTACAGGTAAAATAAAGATTATATATAGAAGAGTTGGAAAGGTTTTACTATTTAGGTTCTTCTCAGTATACATTACATACTTGAAACACTGCATTTGCTGCAAGTTTTAGTGAACTAACAGCATGGTGAGTGATAAGAGCCAGGTGCTTAAGTCAAATCTGGGTTTAAATTCTGGTTAACTTACTAACAGGTCTGTGACTTTGGCCAAGTTACCTAACTTCTCCAAGCCTCAATTTCCTTATTTGCTATGAGAATTAAGTGAAATAATACCTGTAAAAGTCAGTGCTTCACACATGATGGGTACTCAGTAAATGCTAGCTTTTTTATTATAATTACACACACCCAACCAGTATGGAATATGTGCCCTTTCACATAAAACACTGAAGAAATGCCTGTCATCTATTTATGCCCTGAAGTCCAAAGGTAGAAGAACTTAATGTTTAAAAGTTACCATGGCCATGGAGTGAAAGTTGCATGAAAAAAACAAATATTTGGATGAACACCAAGGAAGCCACAGGTGGTTAAAATATTAGCTGGCTGACAAAATAATTCAAGTTGCTTAATAGTGTACAAAGGCAATGCAAAACACTCTTTTTAGATGTGTAATATCTTTACTTTAAAGTTCTTTCTAAGAAATCTAAGAATTAGGAAAATAAGATATTTTTATGTCATAAGTATATGAATTATGCTCACCTGGAGAGGTTTTTGATTCCTAGAAGTGAAAGAAAAACATTTTTATAGTATTAATTTTTCTTTTATATGGATGTGTTACTTGTAAATTTCTAGCCTTATAATTTACGTACTACTTGAAATGCGTTAGATATTTAAATAATTGTCTTCAAGAAGCGGCAATAATTCTCCTGCTACCCTGGCTCCTACTGAAACTGGGTTTCTTTGCACAAGCCTATATATTAAGTGGCAGTCAAAGACCTGTGTAATGAAGTCAGTTTTGTTCCACAAATGTGATCTGAGCACCTGAAATAAGCCAAAGAGCTTTGCAAACAGGACTGTCATCCATGAACCAAAAGGCTACATGTGCCTGTATTGCTGAAAGAAGCTAGCAGGGCACACCAATTTAAACCACCATTAGGGGCATCAACTTAGTAGAGGGACAGACATCTGGGCAAACATAATTTACTAATAGGTAACTAATATAAAGCTTTTTGGTTAATTAATGTTAATGTTTCTGAAAAGGTCCATGCCTTTCTTTTGAGTACTCTGTAGTATTTTTCAGCTTATTTTCTTCTTATCATTTCATTGCTAAATTTGTTTTTTCTCTCAAACTCTGATTTCCATTTAGCTTGTAGAATTGAATTAGGCCTGTTTAGTATTGTTGCTAATCAGACACTTGCCGTGATTATCATTTCAGTTGCCTTTGGATTGTGATTCACAACAAAAAATATTAAAATAACATTAATGCACTCTAACTTTGTCTGTTGGCCAGCACTGTGATGTGAGAGAGGTTGGAATCTTCAGGTTTTACAGATGATGACCGAGGAGCAGATAGGTTAGATCTGCAAACCAAATTACAGAGCAATTTAGAACAGACCAGAGATTAGAACTCAGGCTCCCTCACTCCCAGTACAGTCCCCTTTGTATACTCAACAGAATTTTCTCACCATTTGAATAATGTTACAAAGCCTTCCCACATACCTCAAAGAGCAAATAAAAGATTTAAGTATTCTAAAGTGTTTGATCTCCCTGTCAAAATATATTTGCATCATTTATATTTTGAAAATTTTCATGGAGTATGTTTAATAGAAACAAGATTGCTTTAACTTTGTTGTAAGAAGCCATCTCGAGCTCTTGGTATACACTGTGTAACTGGGTAAACGTTAGAAATAATATGTAATTTGGTGAGACACTAGAAACACAAAGATTAGGAAATTACATAAAAATGGTCCTTAGGATATATATTTTTTTCTATTTAAAAAAATAATTTTATTCTATAGAAATGGTATAACTACATCATAGAATATCTGGAAACTTCAATGGGAGAAAAATTCTGATACCGTTCTAGAAATATAATCACATCACTATTTTGTTTTCTAGTTTACACTCTCTCCTTGCATGTATTTTACTTTTTACATAATTATACTCACAGAACACATGCAATTTCAATCCTGACTTTCCTTTACCTAATGTCATAACATAACCTGCATTATTCATTCAAATGAGAAAATCCAAAAGGAAAAGTTAAATTTTCAAATACTTTTAACTGTGAGTCAATTATAAATTGATCACTGAAAGGATGATTAAGTTTTAAACATGAAAGATGTTTAAGTCAAAGTTGTTAAACCAGAGTAAAAAAAAATTATAAAATAGAGCTTACTATTAAAAATGAAGTGAAAATTATTTTTGATGCAACACACTTAACAATATGAACCATGTGTCTTTTAATTTGGTGATTCTTTAATTTTCCAGGGAAGTTTTTTCTTGTTCATTTCCATGCTTAAACATTTTTTCCTTGTTAGCCTAAGGCACCTAACTGCTATCTTTTGGGAGTTGGTGAAATTTGGACTCATGAAAAGAATGTAAAGGGGAAGAAAAGAATGGCTTCTAGAATTTGTTTTAAAATAGTTCAAAAGGAAAAGGTGAGTTACATATGAAACAACACCAAAAAATGTTGATAATTTCTGAACCTGGGTGATGCATACATTTGATTATTTTCTCTACTATTGTATAATATTGCAAATTTTAAATAATATATAAAAACAAAATAGAGTGGTAGAACTTTTTTTTTTCAGCCAAGAAAAATTCTTAGAATAGCTTTGAAATCTAGAGGGAAAAAAAAGATTTTTCCAAATTCTTAATTCCCATGAATATCAAGAACCAGATCTGAGAGACTCTGATCATAGTTTCTTCCAAGCTTTGAAATGGTACTGCCTCTGATGATGCTGTTTGTTCTTCCAGGGTGGAAGAGGCATCTGAAGAAAGTGGAAAGCCTAAATCTGCCTATTCTGTCCCCAGGAGATGGTGAGAAGTAGATATCAAGAGTCATGAAACGCATGCCCTGACCTCCCCTCTCCAGGGTGAAGTTCTGGAAAGAAGATGTGTTAGATCAGTTGAGGGCATGGGTGCATTCATTCTGGTGAGTGGGTGTTGAGAGCAGAGAGATTTTTCTCCATCCTCTGGTCTGCTGGGTGTCTGCCACTCTGCAGGGAGGCCCTGCTCCATGTGGGGCAGCCCTAACAGAGTAAATGGCTGGAGCAATGTGCATGGGCCAAGACAGGGTATGCTTCACACTCCAGATTCTCCTTCTCCATGAGCTATAGACTCAGGAACAGACAGCAAAGTGCCCAGAGTTGGGTTCTTACCACACTTCAGGGGGCAGTACACATCTGCAGTACATTTACAGACCTCCCACTTTCCTGAAAGCCACAAGGGCACATGGACCTTCTCCATTTGTACAGCTTGATGCCATTTAGGGAAAAGTGCTGAGGGGGTGGGTGCAACGTGAAAGAACAGCCACTTAAATCAAACCAAACCAAACCAAACAGAAAAGACTGAGTTCTGAAGCAGATTATTTAAAGTAGGAGAGCTAAAGATACTGCTATAGACTGAATTGTGTCCCCCACCAAAATTCATTTGTTGAAGATCTAACCCTCAATGTGCTTGTATTTGCAGATGGGACCTTTAGGGGGTGACTTGGTTTAGATAAGGTCATTCCATCTTCATAATGGAACTAGTACACTTAGTGCCTCTCTCTCTGTCTCTCTCTGCCATGTGAGAATACAGAGATGACCATCTGCAAGCCAGAAAGAGAGCTCTCCTCAACCTGACCGTGCTGGAACCCTGATCTAGGACCTCCAGCCTCCATAACAGTAAGAAAACAGATTTATGTTCTTTAAGCCACCTAGTCTGTGGTATTTTGTCATGGCAGCCTGGGCTGGCTAACACAGATACTATAATTCAAAAATCAAAAATTTATCCCATTTCCTACTACTCAGTGGGGAATGAACTTATAACTGCTTATGGAAAACACACATCTGAGTATAATAAGAATAAATGTTTAATTCCATTATGGTAATATACATATATGGTAATTATTCCAAATCACGCAAAATGGTTTACCAAACAAGTGAGCTAGTCTCTAACCTAGCTTCTGGGATTCCATTCCATTACCTTAGAAATTATTATTCTTTCAGAAATGCTCTGCTCACATGTAAACGTATCTGTCTTTGTGAGAAGCTGCCAATTGTGCACCAGTACCCACTCTCCCTTCTTCCTATAATAATAGACAATCAAGTTTAGCTGGGCACAACTAGCTAATAACTGCATTTCCATCCTTCCTTGGGACTAGATTTGTCCATGTGACTATACTCTGGCCAACAGGGTATGAATAAAAGACAAGATATGCCTTTTCTGGATGTCTTTCAAGGGAATGAGCCTATTTCCCCAGCTCTTTCCCTGTTTTCCACTAGCTGGAGTTTGGAGAGAATGAAACAATTGCTTTGAGTCCGGAGATGGGAGGCATCATGTCAAGAAAGGCTACTCTATCAGTCCTAGATGGCTTATATGGATATTACTTTACAGAGAAATAAAGTTTGTATTTTAATTAAGCCACTGTATTTTGAGGTCTCTCTGTTATTGAAGAATAGTGCCCTAAATGATATTATACATAACTATCTTTTTTTAAGCAAACAGAAGCATACTCTAACACTAGTTTGTATCTTGTTTTATTTTTTTAAATTATTAACATGCTTAAAAATCTTTTTAGTTCTCTTTTCTCTTCTTATTCTATCCAGTGTCTCAAAACATTCTACACATCCCATGTATTTATTCAATGTTTATCAGGAGCCTATTATGTGCTACACATTAAGTACCTGCTGTGACAGTACATAGAGGCAGGATAGAGGTTGATGTCCCCAGAAACAATCTTCATTTAATGAGGGACAGAGTTGGTGACAATTCTGAAGTGTACTCCACTCAGCCTCTCAATAGGTCTCCAGGGGGACTGAGCCTCAGCTACCCACAGCCGTACCTACCCGTCAACACGTCCTTCATGGGCTTCTCTTGCTTGTCTTCTTTTCCGTTTGCCTCACTCTGCCTTCAGAGATCACTTTCTGATAAACTCCGTGCATCTAGTCCTGATCTCAGAGTCTGTTTTGAGAGAAACCAAAGTAAGACAATGGTCCAGGAGGATTTACTTCTCAGGAGGAGACTTGAGTAGAAATGTCCTGTGAGGGAGCGAGCCTTGTGAATCTCTGAAAGAAGAGAAAGGAGCAAATCTAAAGGGCTGGAGGCGGGAATATGCTTGGTCATTTTTAAGAACAGCAAAGTGCCTGTCTGGCTGGAGTGGGGCATGTGAGGAGGGAGTGGTAGGAGATGCTTGGAGGATTAGTCTGAGGCTGATTTAACCAAGTTAAGAGGAGATCAGTGGTATGGACCCTAATCCAACATGACTGGTGTCCTTATAAAAAGGGGAAATTTTGACTCAGAGACATACACAAAGAGGGAAGAAGGTTTGAAGACACACAGGGACATAGGGAGAAATGTCTTGTGAAAACAGAGGATTGAAGTGATGCATCTGCAAGCCAAGGGATGCCCGAGTCTACCAGAAGCTGGGAGAGAAGCCTGAAACAGATCTTTCCCCAGCACCTTTATAGAGTATGACCCTGCAGATACACTGATGTTGGACTTCTGGCTTCCAGACTGTAAGACAATAAATATCACTTGTTTTAAGCCACCTAGTTTTTGGTACTTTGTTACAGCAGCCCTAGCAAACTAGTATACAGGCCAATAAAAATCAAGCTGACATATACCACAGAATTTAGGCTATCATCATAATGAGAGAAGCTAGTAACTTTAAACGTGGATATGAAAGATGGTAGGTCTAACCGAAGGATTAAATGTAATTTAAAAAGCATTTATCTCTTCAGATCCCACTTCCTCTTTATGCATCCAGATGACTACCCTTCCCTTATTATATTAGGATACTAAAGATTTAGTCAATAAAGTTGTTGAACCAGAAAATCTTTGGACTCAGGAAGAAGCAAGGATGAGATGCTATATTGAAAATAGGAAACATAAATGAAAGTATTTTAAATAGTGAGACCTCTGATCTCCAGAAGACTGGCTGCCAAATTTCTATATCTAAGCAGCAAATTAGGAAAATTTATTTCTGAGGAAACCATCAGACCCAAGAGTAAAGAGCAACAAAATATCTGGATCCTATGATCACCCTGCAGCAAAGCCCAGAGTCAATATATTCCACAAACCTGACAAAATCTCCAAATAATATTTACTGTCTTATTTTAAAATATAAATGGGAAACTAAGAATCACTAGGCAGTTGAGAGGAGTCTCTTACAAAGGAGATGAGAAAACACAATCAGAGGATACAGAAAATACTAGCCACAGAAGAAAATGAAACAGTAAAAAATCTGTAGTAAATCTTACAGAGACAAGAAAAGATATCACAGAATCTACGAAAAAAGAACACGAGGTTGTAAAAACAGGACCTTAAAGACCTAAAAATAAATTAAAACATATAATAGAATAAAAAAAATCATCAACAGAATTTGGGTTGGAAAACCAAGTTGAGGAAGTAGCTCAGAAACTAGAACAAAACTACAAAGACATAAAAGATAAGAAAACTAGAGTGTTTGTGCAAGAGGTTCAGTATTCAAGCTACAATTTGCATAAGGAGAAAAAGGAAAAGAAGAAATTGTCAGTGAAACAATGCAAGGAATTTCCTTAGACCTGAAGGAATTATAGCTGACCTTTGAACAACACAGGTTTGAACAGCACAGGTCTACTTATATACAATTTTTCTTTTCTTTTTTTCAGTAGTAATAGTACAATACTACACCATTCACAGTTGGTTGAATGTGTGGATGCGGAACAATGATCCAGAGAGCCTATTGCCAAGTTATAAGCAGATTTTTGACTGAACAGACTGTCGGCATCCTTAACCCCTGCATTGTTCAAGGGTCGACTGTAATCACTGTTTGAAAAGGCCCAATTATGATCCAGTGCAATGGTCTAAAAAGACTCATACTTTATGAAATTCTAGAACACTGGTGACAAAGATTCAAAAGCTCCCAGCATGGGTAGCTACATAATTTCTGCTGTCCAGTGAAAAATCAGAATGTGGGGCTCCCTGTTCAACAATCATTAAGAATTTTATGGCTGCAGCAGCAGAGCATTAAACCAAGTGTGGACTCCTTCTAGGTTCAGAACGCTGTATGATTGCTCAGGCCACGTGCCTATGAAGTGGCCAAGATCTTAGGAAGAAAAAACACCTCTCCCCTCCTCATTGTTCTAAGCTATGAATTTAATTCTTACTTCACTCAGGATACAGAAGCAGTCAGAGGAGAACTATCTCATCTTTCCAACTCCAAAATTTCCAGCCTGTCTTCCCCTAATCTTGAACTTTGCTTTCTCTTGTTCAGTGACTGAACTATCCTGGCTCCTGTCTAAAGCCCACTCTTCAACTTGTGTGCTGGATCCCACAGCATCCAGCCTATTCAAGGGTTTTTCTCCTCCATTCAGCTCCTTTCTTCTGCATCGTTAGGCTTTGCTTTGCTTTTGGATCATCCCCATCAGACTATAAATATCACCACCATCTTTAAAAAGTCTCACATGGCCCAAGACTTCTTCCAGCTCATTTCTCTGCACCCTTCATAGCAAAATTCAGGGAAAAAAAGAGTTGTCTTTACTTACTATTCCACTATGACTTTGTAACTCCTACCTCAGTTGTCTCTTCTGTGCTTTAGTCACACTGATAGCCACGTGACTACCGAAACTCTTTTGTCAAAGTCAACAATGACCCCCATCTTTTCAAAACTAATGATCAAATCTCAGACCTCATTTTCCTGAAAACTTCAGGGAGATTTGAGATAACTGATCATTTTCTTACCCTTAATATAATAGGACGTCATACTAGGGAGTAGTTTCCCTCCTATTTCACCAACTACTTCTCTTTCCTTTGTTGACTCCTCCCATATGTCTGAGCTTGGACTTTTGGTGTAATCCAGAGCTCAGTCCTTGGTCTTCTTTTTCTCTTATCTAAGCAATTAATTTCATCTCATGGTATAATTACCATCTGGCATATCCCACATTTAAATCTGAAGGCTTGGCTTCTCCTCTGAGTTTAAATTTATATATCCAAACACCTTTTTGAAATCTTCTTGGATGCCTAACATGTAACTGAGATATAACGTATTCAAAATAGTACTCGATTCCTTCTCCCAAATCTCCAATCTCACCAACCCCATAAAATGGACCTATCATTTTCTCAGTTGCTTTGGCCAAAACATAGAAGTTACCCTTGATTCATCTCTGTCCCTTGCATGCTACATCGAATCCATCAGCCATTGTTATCTTGATTTTAATTCCAAGTATACATCCTGAATTTGATTGCTTCTCACCACTTCCACCACTACCCTAGACTCTCCCCTGAACTACTACAATAGCCCCTAAATATTCTCCCTCCTCCTTCCTATGTTTTCTCCCTATCCTCCATGTAGCAACCAGAGTAATGTTCACAAAACCCTATAGTGTAAGAAATATTGTTGTTACTGCCTTTTACAGATGAGAGAATTGGGTCTGAAAATGGTTAAGAAGCTTATCCAAGATCACACAGCTAGTAAATGGTGAAACTAGAATTTGAACCTTGATGCTTCTCTAGAGCATCCTTCCCTCCTCTGACCCCTGTGTGCTTATGCTCTTTCATGTTTGTGTCTATGATGCCTATCTCTGTACCCTGAGTGGTACCTGACATGGCAGTAGGCACTTAATAAATATTTGTTGAATTAATTAATGAACAGTACCTGGAACACAGTGACTACTCAATAAATGGCTTTTATGATAGAATAAAAGCTCCTCAGAAGTTAAGATTTTAGAGGGAGAATTTTATAACACATCTTATTCACATAGAACTTTATAATTTGCTATTATATATACTATGATGTAGTATTTATCATGCAGGAGTAATATTGTTTGCTGTATTTTCTGCTCAAAACCCTACACTGCCTTTCCATTTCGCTCAGGGTAAATGTTGAAATCCTTTCAATGGATTATGGGATGCTGCATGATCTGCTGCCTTTACCTCTCTGACTTCCTCTCCTTCTATTCTCTCCCTCTTTGGTTACTCTGTTTCAGACGCTCTGACTTTCTTAATATTTCTCAAACACATCAGGGGCACTCCTGTTTCAGCGCCTTAGCACTAGTTGTGCCCTTTGTCTTGAACGCTTCTTCCCCACATACATATGTGGTACCTACCTTATCTCTTTCCAGTCTTTGCTCAATTACCACATTCTCAAAGAGGTCCACTCTTACTACCTTGTTTACTTTTGAAAGCAATCTTATGTTGCCTGCACTCCCAGTCTCCCTTAACCTGCTCTAATTTTAATTTGTTCATAGTGCTATGCACCCTCTAAAATAATATATAATTTACTTATCTACTATGCTAATATTGTCTATCTACTTGTGCTAGAATGTAAATTCCACAACAGTAAGAGTATCTTTTTAAATTTATAGACAGCAATAATATTTGTTGAATGAATGAATGAATGAATGAATTGCAGTTGTAAAATAAGTTGAGAAAGTTATTTCCTTTATGTAGTATTGAGAATTTATATTTCTAGTTCTCATTTTATTAAGACCATTTATGAACATTTTCTCATTTATAGATAAATACTATGTATTTAAAAATGGTAAAATATGTTCCACCAAATTTGAAGGAACATTAAGGGCTATTAAAAATGAATGACTATTATTTATGAGCTGATTATCACAGCTAACCCCTGCATGAACAAGATGAGCTCTTTCTGTCCATAAAATAAAATAAAATAAAATAAAATAAAATAAAATAAAATAAAATAAAATAAAGTTCTTGAAGTCAAGTTACTTCACAAGGACTCTTTTAATTCTTTATTTTATCTCCTTACTTCAAGGTAGAAGTAACTTACTATTTGCAAGATTACTCTTCAACCATTTCTCAAATTTTGTTTTTTAACCATACTACATGACTCTGTGAATTTCGTTAAGGCTAAAATGGTCTTACTTAGATAAGAAGGGAATTTTAAAATTATTTTTAATCTGTTTTTTGTCATGATTATTCACCTAGGTCAGTGTTTTTCAAATTTTTTCAAACACCAATACGTAAATATAATGTATTTTGTATATTAAAACCTTAATATACACATGGATAAAAGCAGTTTTCTCTTTGTATAAATGTGTTGGGGTGGGAGGTGCATGAGAAGAGGTTGGTAAGAAGATACAAATTTTCAGTTATAAAATAAGTTCTGAGAATTGAATGTACAGCATGATGACTGTAATACTGGTAATAGTTGATAACACTGTATTATATAATTGAAATTTACCAAGAGAGTAGATCTTAAGCATTCTTTCCAAAAGAAGGTAATTATATGAAGTGATGTGTTAATTAACTTTCTGTGGGGATCATTTCATAATGTACACATATATCAAATCATCACATTGCATATTTTAAACATTTTACAATTTTATTCATCAATTATACTTCACTAAATCTGGGAAAAAAGGAAAATTAGTTGCAAATGTTAATAGTTAAAAATAAAGCAAAAAGAAAAACAGCATGATTTGTAACCTTAAAATAACTGTGGTTAATAGGAATAATAGAATCATTTCATTTCATAACTACCTCACCAACAATATCTAAGAGCTACTTACATTATTTATCATAAATATACCATAAAGGAAACATGTCAGATTTACAATGAGTGATAAAATTATGATACTTTCATGATGCCAGTTACTGGAAATTCACTTATCTTTGCACATGTGATTATCATGATTTGAGAAAAGTATGTACCAGGCAGATATCCTAAAGCTTTATTGACATTTACTTGAGCATGGCACATGCATTTCTAAGTATTGATTTGTATATTTCTTCCCCTCAAATTCCTCAACCAGGGCTCACAAAATTCTTTCACTTGTAACTCAAGAATATTTTCTTTTTTTGCCAGTATGCTACTATTGAGGGGGAGGAGAGGTGCAGAAATGTGGAAAAATATGGATGGATCATTGAAGAGCAAATTTTTCTACCTTAGGAGATGAAATATTCATGACTAGAAAAGAGGTAAGAGAAGGAATGATGCATACCACTGTCTTTCCCCAGCCAGCCAAAACAGACCTCCCTCATATGTTGTAGCACCAGGAAGCTGCACAGAACCTGGATGAGTTCCATGTTGTTCTATTGTCAAAGCCAGCCACCAAAATGGTATGTTCTCCATCATTTATCCAGTTTGGACTGGCATCCGCTGTACTTCGAAGCTCTACTCAACCCCACCCCTGCCTCAATCAGATAATCTACCTGACAGTGGCCCAGGACACTTGTAATGCACACAGTCTCAAAAGTAACTTTGGTCACTTTAAGAGGTGATAGGGACTTGAAGCCAGATATTTCCCTTGACCCAAGAGGAACTAAATTGAATCAGTTTGAAATTGCCTATTCATCCGGGAGAGCAGCCAAACAGAATGAATCTTCTATAGAATTTTGTATACTTGGATAGATCCAGTTCTGAATTTTAGGAAAACACTATTACAAACTTTCAACCTTCTTAAGCATTGACATTTTTTAAAGAGTTCTAATATATACATAGAGAAGATTTTTCCTAGATTGATATGAAAATAAGCTGCCTTGGCCATAGAAATCAAAGTCTCCAATTTGAATATAAAAACATTGCATAAAATGTGTTTATATATAATATATTTTATATACAATGGCCATAACATACATAGATATGTGTGTGTATACACACATACATACAGTTTAAACTTTATATATATTTAAAAAGAAGTAAAGCAAGTCAAATATTTGCAGAATATCTAAAGCACGCCTGGGTCCATAGAACATAACTTGAAAAATTTCTGTTCTAGATACTGGATACAAGGATAAGCAAGAGATGTCTGCTTGAAAGAACCACATAATCATAGAGATGCTTTTCAATAAAATGTACATTAATATAGCTTGTTGTCTGGTTTCCAACTAGAATGAGAATGATTGCTTTTGCAAAGGGTAAATTTTCTATTTTGTTTTTCTTTAATTTCCTTAATATCAATTCTATCATTTTTCAGTGCTTACAGAAAAGTTTCATGTACAATGATTGAGATTTAATGTTGGATTTAAAAACTTTAAAGCTAGATGTAATTTCTGAAGAATGCTCTTGATATTTCTCATTTTCCCCAGTTGCTATAACCAGTTGTAGCTCAACTACATGAGAAAGTATCTGAAATACGTAATTTCAGGTGTCAGCTATACTTTCCTGGGATTTTTATGATGGTGTAGGAAAATTTACCAGTACTAAGATTCACAAGACTACTTCATGTCTTAAATATTTGTTCAATTTTAGTTTCAATTATTTTTGAATAAGTAATACACTGATATGATTCAAATTTTTACAAAGGCATAAGCAAATATTCACTGAATAGTATCATTCTGTAACTGTCCCACAGTCATCTGGCTCCTCTCCCAGGAATCAACTGGTGTTCCCATTTTCCTGCATATCTTTCCAAATAGTTTGAATCAAGCCAGATTGTTTTACCATGAGTCAGTCAATACTTGTGTGCCCCTCCTGACACACTATTTTTAAAAGCTATCTTATTTTATTATACTTTGATTTTTCTCTAAACAATACCTTAGAGTTCGTTTCATATGTGTTTCATAAAAGTTTTTTTTCTTTCTTTGTGTAGTGAATAGTATTCCATTGAATTAATGCAATATTGCATTTAGATGTGGAAGATCATTTTAAAATCAGGATTAAATCATTCTTAGTGTGGAATGTTGTTGGAAGAATATGACTTAGTAAGGGATATCTGACTACCCCATAGATGATTTTAGACACATGGAAGATTGAGACCAACCCCCCTAGAATGGTAGTAGGATCACACATGTGTTACTTTGGTTTATATTTATCTGATGACTTCAGAATGGCAAATGATAATCAGTAGATTATTTCCCATTTAAACTCTACCCTGCAAGGCCAGATATTTTAAAATCTCACTGAACATCAAATTTAGATGTAAATAAAGGGTCATAGAGGAAATTATCTCTATGCAAGTGAGAAAAGGAAGCTCATATATAAAAAAAAAAAGGAAAGTTAGTAACTCATATCTTGTGTGGAAGTCCCATAAATGACAAAGCTCTGTTTGAAATAAAGGAGACATTGTACTTTGTTTAGAGTGATGAGAAAACATTGAGAATAAGAGTGGACAAAGTAGAAAGAAAGGATGTTTGTCCTGGTTTGTTTTTGTTTTTGTTTTTTTTGTAGGGAGAGTGAGTTCTACTTTGGTAATAAGTGACCTCTAATCTCTTGGTTAGTATTTCATGGCCAAGTCAACAGGCTCTCGGTAGGAGTGGTAAAATTTTGTGGTAGAGCACGTAGTCGACAAACATGTGTGGGTGGCCTCTCTGGGATAAGACACATTGTGAATATCCTAGGTTACTTTTCCGTGTGACATTGAACTTACTGATTAAACTGTTGCCAAAGGGACTGTTACACCCAAATGGTTTGGGCTGCTCTGCTTGAGACCTGTCCAGAACACCATGTTTTTATCACAAGGTAGACCAAGGAGGTCAGTATGATGATCAAAATGATGGTCACTGTTCAGCACTTCATTTCACTTCTGATTTGGAGCCAACCTAAAGAAATGATTAGGATTCAGCTTTCCAAATCTACCAAATATATATGTATTTTACTGCTCTGGAGTACTGTTTAATCTCCTCTTCAGTATTTCTGCATTTAACTCTCCTATTCCATAAGATTCTACAGCGTACTATCTACACGGGGAGAAAATGCTAAACTTCAACAGTCTGCACCTAATTAAGATAAAGCTCTGTGAGGACCATATTTGGCTACACTCAGATGCAATAGCAGATGTATTCACCAAATAGGGTTGTTCTGCCCTGACTTCAAACCCATGAGCTGGGTGTATAAGCTTAGTGCACGTACTTCTCCTTCATTCATGTAAAATGTGATTATAAATTAGCAAGACACAATGTTGTCGGTCATATTAAGAACTCTATCATTAGCTAATTGTGTTAATTTCTGCTCTGTGAGGGTTCCTTCACATTGGCCCAGTGGATGCCTTGTGAGGAAAACTTCTTTCTGAGAGTTCCAAATGGGAAGCAGTAGAAACTGTCTTTGCCTTCTTCCTCAACATACCTAGTTTCCATCTTCTTATTTCTTACTTCCCTTGTTAGAAATAATAGATATCATAGTGACATTAGCCATGAATTTCCCTTTTGCTTTTCCTATTCTTCCTCTGGAAAGACTCTTCATTTCATTCCTAGGTAGAATTGAATGTCCCTTATTCACATGAAGAGTTCTCTCTATCTAAATCTTAAAAAACAAACAAACAAACAAAAAAACGCAATGTAAATTGAGACCAGTCAAGTTCTGGTTTTGATATGTGGATGAACAAGATTAGAGAGTAAATCTTTCTCTCTAAACAAAAATATCTCAAGATTACTGTGTCACTTGAAATTCCTATAATGATAGGTGAATATTAACACTGCTTTTTTTTTTTTGCATTCCTGCTATAACAGTTTTAATTCTCCCCAAGGCATTGAATAGTGAGAAGATCATATACAAGAAAGGGAAAGAGAAAATATTTCAAGAAGTATTGTGGTTAGTAAATGTCTATATTTTCATGTGTATGTTTGTTTATCTGCCTCTACCATCTTGCCTTCAGTAAACTGGCTTTTTTTCTTAACATTTGCTTTAGAAGTAATTGTATTCTCTCACTCCAAGGTTCTTCTCTCTGTCTCTAGGAGACCCTTGTGGATCACTATTGGTATCCAGATCTTTATGGATATACTTCTTTTACTTTCACTTAGCTTATGCCATCACTAAATTCACTGTTTCCTCTTATCCATCCCTGTTCTCCATTTGGCATATCTGAATTCCCAATCTTTTAATCCTGTTTCTTACCTCTTGTATATACTTCCTTCCCCTAATTGAGACCTGGCTCTCCACTTCATTGATAAGAATTTACTGAACACCAGTTATGCACAACCTTCTATTTTGTCATGTTGTTTATCACCAATCTGTTGAATTTTCACTGCCCAAAAAGAGCCTGCATTTTTTATCCCAAGTTGGTGGAGTCATTCAGATTCTGAGAGGCTCTCATTTCTAGGGTGAAGAGATGCTGCTTCCCTTTGTGTACCAAGCACAAGAGTCCAGCACATTATAAGTTTGGATTTAGTTTTTTAGGCAATGGAGTGTCATTCCAAATTTTTGAGCAGAAAGAGAGTAGTGATTGCACACAACATTCTAGGAAGATATTTGTGGGAGTAATGTGCAGGATTGTTTATAATTTGAAGTATGTATATCCATTAATCCATTACTGCCATAACACTGAGAAAGAGAGTAAATATAGAGACCAAAATAAGAATTAAATGATTTCTGACTGGTTCAATAGAAGGTAAAGAAGTCTTTGGTTAGAAGATAGAAGAGTTGTCAGCAAATAAGAAAGAGAACAGTTAGTTCAAGAAGAAGATGGGGAACTAAAATAATATAATTTCATGAACGTCAACATAAAAGAAGTGAGCCAAATGCCATTGATGAGGTCCTTTTATATGCATGAAATATGTAAAAAATATTTCCCTACTGGGGTTGAATACTTGACTTGAGATGCAGTCTCAGAGCAGTCGTGGGGGTGGAAAGCATTTGAAGGAAACTGAAGTGGAAATGAGTAGTTGTCACATAGGTGTCATTATCATGTATTTGTGCAGGTGGGAACTATGGCTATGACACTTTGCTTTAGGTAGGATCTCACTACAAGGTGTGCTGAAAATTCCTGTTAAGAATTGAGCTCTTTTTTTAAATTGAAGTATCATCAGTTTAAAATGTTGTGTCAGTTTCTGGTGTACAGCATAATCGTTCAGTCATACATATACATACATACCTTTGTTTTCAAATTCTGTTTCATTATAGGTTACTATAAGAGATTGAATATAGTTCCATGTGCTTATAGTATAAACTTGTTGTTTATCTATTTTATGTATAGTAGTCAGTATCTGCAAATCTCGAACTCCCAATTTAATCCCTTCCCACCCCCTTCTCCCTGGAAATCTAAGTTTGTTTTCTCTGTATGTGAGTCTGTTTCTATTTTGTTAATCAGTTCATGTGTCTTTTTTTAATTCCACATATAAATGATATCATATGGCATTTTTATTTCTCTTTCTGGCTTACTTCACTTAGAATGACATTCTT